TGCAGCAGGGGCCGGAAGTGACCACTGCAGCAGGGGCCGGAAGTGACTACTGCAGCAGGGACAGGAAGTGACCACTGCAGCAGGGGCGGGAAGTGACCACTGCAGCAGGGGCCGGAAGTGACCGCTCACATCACACCCAGGTTACAGTCCATCACTGCAGGGAGGTCGGTGCAGCAGGGGCCGGAAGCGACTACGCACATCACACCCAGACTAAAGCAGAGAGCACTGGGTGTACGCACGCACGCACGCACGCACGCACGCACACCAGCCCTCAGCTCACTTTCTCCACAATTCAGGATCCCTTGCCCAGGGAATGGTGTCACCCACACTGGGTGATTCTTCCCACGATGAGGTCCTTCACTGAGACTGCCTTCCGGGTGATCCCAGACTGTGTCAAGCTGACAACGGAAACTCACCACCACTGAGGTATCACAAATCAACTGTCTAAGAATATGACAAGGGCTATCACATGGTTAACCTGGGGGTGGCTCTGGGAAGGGCTACAGTTCACTTGCTACAGGGCTACATTGTTGCTGAGGAAAACCTCCCAGCATCCTCTCCTTCTGTGCATACTAGGTATCACAGGAAGGATACAAGAGCCAGGAAAGGCAGCTGAGTCACAGCCTCACAGATACAAATGTGTCACCAAGTGAGTCAGTAATAATATTTGATGACTTATACAGAATTCATACTGGACAGTCTCCCAACTTCCCCAAGTATCTATGAACTTACAAAGATGGCGAATGGTGACCTTTCAAGCCGCAGGACGACAGGGGAGATCCACAGGTGCCTCCTTCCCCTCTCCATTCCTGCTGTTTTCACACTGACTAGGAAAGGAAACTTTGGTCCTCCACGGGAACCAGGGAGAAACCTGGTGCTTTTGAGCTGCCCTGTGCAAGCTGGGTGTGGTGATACATATGTTTAATCGCAGGACCAGGGAGGCTGAGGTGAGCAGATTCAAAGTCAGTTTGGGCTACACAGTGAGACCATGCCTCACAAAAAAACAATGCTCTCTGCTCAAGAATGTGAATGTAAGGAAAGAGGGTCCCAGATAACTGAGAAACAAAATGCAGAGGATGAGAAGACTCAGGAGGGCAGGAATAAGGGAGGAAATTCAAGGAGGGAGGACCTCCAAAAGAACCAGGGGGGTTCCCCTAAAATGCTCTCAGTGAAACTGTTATGCACAGACATAGTATTTTATCATGTGTGTGCCATGTGCGCCCGAGCGCATGCCTGTGTGTGCCCGTTATGGGAGTATGCATGCCAGGGCATGTATGTGGAGAGCAACCCTGGGGGCCAGACCCCACCTCCCACCTTGAGACAGGATCTCTTGTTCACCACTGGGCACCAGGCTAGCTGGCCCTGGAGCTCCTGAGGGCTCTCCCATCTCCACCTTCCATCTCGCCAGGATTACAGACAGAGAAGCACTTTCCCGTCTGGTTTTCATGGGCTCCAAGGATCCCAGCTCGGGTCCACAAGCTTTCATAGCAAGCACTTTGCCAATGAGACATTTTCCTAGTTCAGGAATGGTTACATTTTAAACACGATTCGGGAGATCCCTGTTTCAAGGAATCTCTGTAAAAATCATTTCCAAAAATGAATCATGCTGCATATGTGTGCAAGGTAAGGCAATGTTTTACAGACATAAAATATTTGTAATTTACTGCTACATTCTCCTACTTTTAAGTCACAACTCTGAGAGCTTCCCTTTTAAGATCGTAAAGATCACAGGTGAATTAGGAAAATAATTTGTTCAAATACTTCAAGAACAAGAAGCAAGTGTACCAGGGTACCACAACATTATGATTTTTCTTTAATATTTATTGTCTGGTGCCATTAAAAAAAAAGAGCCCAAACATCTTTAGCATCCAATCATTTCTTACCACTGCTGACAGGTACAAGGCAATCTGAGGAACCTTTGCTTTCTCTCTTCTCCATGCTTAATTTCCAGACTACAAGAATAGAACAGTAATCAGGCATGTAGTGGTGCATACCTGTAATTTCAACCCTGGGGAGGTGGAACCATGGTGACCTTGAGTTTGAGGTTAGCATGAGCTATATCCTGAGATCTGCCTTAGGGGGAAAAAAAATAGGAACAGTAGCTGTTTACTCCTCAGCTGGTCTTTAAGTTGCTGGTACAAATATTTATCTAATTTTCAGTCACTGTATTATGGATGAGCAAGCCTCCCCAACTGGCCAAAGGGCACAATTAACCTGGGTGTTCCTACGTGTTGTACCAATGTATCAGTTTACCAAATCCACATGTTCAGAGCCCTCACATAGCCTGTATCAGTTTACCAAATCCACATGTTCAGAGCCCTCACACAGCCTGGTAGGTGTCTTTTTTAGAGGGCCAAAGTCTCATGACTCCTATCCTGGGACCCTCTGAGTTCCCAAGGTAGAGTCAGCTGCAAACTGATCATGACTGAGCTTTCCACAGCATGTGGCAGACCACAGTTTACTCTCTCAGGCAGGACAGGGGCCATCGACACAAAGGCTGAGGCTGCTCCCAGCTGCTTCTGGAAGCTAGCATTCTCCTGGAGGCATTCCTTTCGGAACCCAATGCTAACCATTCTGGGCTCCCAGCATCACCAAGCTCTTTTGGAACAGCAAGGAAGCCCTGTCTGGCCCCTGAATGAACCCATGACCTGGGCTTTCATCTGTACAGATGCTGAATAATGGCTCCCAAATTTTAACAAGTGAACTTGCTATCTATTCTTGATGGCTAATTCAGTCACTGTTATTCTTGGGGTCTGATTCCATATTCTCAATAGGAAATCACTGCATTAGCTATGCTTGCATTAAAATCACTTTCATTAAGCACTGTTTACCCCATGTTACTTACCTGCCTGCATTATACATTATGTCATGGTTTCTGTTTCTTTCCTAGAGTGTCCTCAGAAACTTTTTTTTTTTACATGCAGCCAGTATGCCTGGCTATAACTGGTGTTTCTAATATAAGCAACTTGTCCAGGCCCAGTGTTGGGGTCCAGCCCTGACCCGTCGAAGGGCCTCTTGAAGAGGGGGGGAAGTGAGGCATTGAGAAATGAGAAATGCTAGATACGAAATATAGAAGTAGACTAAAAAAAAAAAAAAAGATGGAGACCAGGAGAGTTTCAGGAAGGCCCTGAGTCAATACCCAGCAGCCTAGAGTTTAATTAATTAATTTGTTTGTTTGTTTTGGTTTTTTGAGACAAGGTTTCTCTGTGTAGCTTTAGTGCCTGTCCTGGATCTCGCTCTGTAGACCAGGCTGGCCTCGAACTCAGAGAGATCCGCCTGGCTCTGCCTCCCAAGTGCTGAGATTAAAGGCGTGCGCCACCACCCAGCTTTCAAGTTTATTTCTAATGGGCTTTTTATATACTAGCAAGGGGAGTGGCAAAAGACCTCCCCCTTTCAGTATCAAAGCACAATGTACAACCAAGCCTAGACCCTTCAAAACACCTGGTAACCAAGCCCCACGGCAAAGCATCTTGTGATGAGGCCTTGAAGTACAAGACACCTGGTAACCATGCCTTTGCACCCTATGATGCAGCCTTGGAGAGCAACATCAACTCTGACGCTCTGACCTTGAGTCAAACCACAAGTTGGAATCTTTGTGGGCTCCCACAGCACCTGCTGCTCAAAAGTTTATGTATACATGATGTCACAGCGTCATCAACAGAGACAGATTGCCTCTTCTTTTGTTTCTCAGAATTAACTATGGGCTTATTGGAACTTCAATGCATTGAAGAAATGACGTGCTGGAAGCAGACTTGCAAAATATATGGATGTCATAGCCTCAAGATCACAGCTCCCCTCGCTGAATAACAAAGATTATGAATTCCTTATCTGTTGCTTGTCTCATGCAAAGTGAATACCATTCAAAGATCCACAGCCTCTGGAAGGTTCCAGCAGAGAGGGCTCTAAGTGATGTGTGAACTGGCTTTCAAATGGCTGTTACCATCCTTTCACTTAAAAAAAAAAAAAAAAAAAAGAGGCTTGAACTGAGAGTTTCACGTGACATCAAATTAACACTGCATTGTAAAGTCTTGTTTCACTTAATGTTTTTGAAGATTACATTATCTGTAATCCTTACTGTGCTTGTGGCTATGTTTTCTTTTAAAGGACTTGTTTTTATTTAGGTGTACATGGGTTTGTCTGTTTTAGCATCAGTCACTTGTGTGTGTGTGTGTGCCTTCAGAAGACAGAAAAGGGTGTTGGATACCCTGGAGCTGGAGTTATTGGCAGTGGTGAGCTGCCAGACATGGGTTGTGGGAACCAAACCCAGGTCCTCAGGAAGAGCAGGAAGCCCTCTTAATCACTGAGCCACTACCCACACCCCCACCCCCACCCCCACACCAGAGAGTTGAGAAGGAGTAGCAGGAGGAGGGGGGGAGGGAGTAAGGGAGAGAGAGAGAGAGAGACTTTTAGAATAAACAACTAAATAAAAGTTTCCTTGAGTTCCTGGCTTGGGATAACAAACAGCCTGTCCATTAATACAATTTAGTTTGGTTTTAAATGCTTTTGGAGTATGGAAACAGAACAAAAGGACAACTACATTTAATTTTATAAAAAACGAAGCTCTTTCCCGCCCCCTCCACGCCCACCCCATGGTGCTGGGCTACAGCCTAGAGCCTTGTGCATGCTAGGCAAGTGCTCCACCACTAGGCTGCAGGCCCAGCATTCCAGCTTTTCTTAAGCTCAAGAAAGTCTGGCTTAAAAGGAATCAATATTCCCCTAGTGTGTTATGTATGGCTCAAGGCAATTCTTCCCCATGCAGTGTAGTTGAAGACAAAAGGCTGGACCCCTGGTTTACAGTAGTTCTTAGAGCTGTGGTGATACACAGGACGTGCACATCAAATGCTGAGGCTCCTCATTCTCTGTGCAATACTAAAACAAGTAGAACCCACACAGAGCATCCCCATTAAAAATGGAAGAACTCTGGCTCGGGGTAGAGTGCGTGGTAGGGCACCTGCCTGATGCCCTAGTTTCCACCTCCAGAACGGCAGGAAAGAAGAAAGAAGGAAGAGAAGGAGCAAGAGGAAGAAGTAGGGAGTTTGAGAACGATCCCATGAAGTGCTTTCTATAATCAATGGTGTCTACTGACAAGGACAAGTGGAACTGATGGCCCTAATGGGAAGCTTGGCTGGTGTTTGGTCCTCTGGGCCTTGAGCGGCTACAACTGAGGGCAGGGGGCAAAAACAAAACAAAACAAAAACAAACAAACAAAAAAACTGCAGCAGACGTCCCCAGAAGCAGTTGCAGCACTGGTACCCCCGAAGAGGGGGTAAGGTAGGGAGAGGGCATTGGACAGAACCCAACACAGGGAATTCAGTGATGGAGAAGGGGCCTCAGGACCTCTATTCTCAGCTGCAACCCTTGAAGGGAGCTAACAAAGCCCTGGTAGGGGAGTCCCTGTCTCCTCCTCCGCCAGTGACAAACTTTGG